CCCCAAAACCCCAAAACCCCAAAACCCCAAAACCCCAAAACCCCTTTGGAAAAAATTAGAATTGATCAATTAAAATAATTTCAGAGCGATCATAATATTCCATTAATGATTTCAAAGAAGAACGCAAGCAGGGATTCCTCTCACAACTACAGACAGCCAAACAGTAGTGCCAAAAAGAAGCAGAATAGAGGAGCAAGCGAGATCTATGGAGTTTATACAAATCTGCCCGATATCAAGAAATTACAAAGAAGTAGTGGTACTTCATTGAAGAATGGTGGAAAAGAAATCATCAAAAATAATCCACACAGAAGTAAGCAACACTTCTTTTTAATTTCTTTTTTTAAGTCATATATCTAGCATCTAAAGGGTTCTTCAATGGACTGGAATCCTGTATAAAATAATGCAAAACACCAGGATGCATCATTCAAATGAAAGAATCGTATAACACCAATGGGGCATGTGAAGGAGTACTCCAAGATCCAGCTTGAGTCTTCCAAGAAGAAAGATTTTGCTAATCTTTCAAGTACTAGCCTAGCTTAACTATAGAAAAATCTTCTTGCACAACTTATCCTAACAAGGCCAAGCATTTAGCAGGTACAAAAGAGAAGAGTAATACGAACTTTAAAATTTTGGCCTTCCTATTCTGCTAAAAATATAAAAATTGCAAAGTGACTATATATATTGACAATTAAGATTTTTGGCTTTTCTTGCTGCATTTCACCAGAATATGATAATCCTTGGGAATTTGTTACTCATGAAATTACCTTAAAATTAATATTTTTCTAATAGCGAGTCATTGCCATAAGTTTAAAAAATAAGAAGTCCTTTAACAGATTCAAAGCAGAGATTCAAAAGATCCAAAAACACCAGGATCAGTATTTAAATCAGGATGTCAAAGATAGGCACTCTGAGCAGCTGAATTACAACGAGATCAACCCTAGTAGGACTTTTAGACACAAAAATCCACCGACTAAGATCGTACCCAAGAGCACACAGAATTTGAACTACTCAATAATTGATAAGAACTCTAAAGCAATTACATTGCCAAATCTGACTGAAAAGGGCGATAACGATCTTGATGCCATGAACAATATTATCACGAATTATCTGGCTTGTGAGAGCAGGACTGAGAATGACAGGGGGTCTTCCCCCTATCATAATGAAGACACTATGACGAGGAATACCAAGCTCAAGCAGCCTTTTTGTGCTAATAAGTCCCTTGAGAGCATTTCTACGGAGAAGGGAAATGCTAAATTCTCTGAAAATAGGAAAAGGAAGCAAACCGCTCACTCTAATTATGTTGTAAGATCTCGAAATTTCAGTTGTTTCAGATATATTTTTCACAATTTCTCAAGTGGGGTTTTGCAGATTTTTACCACCTCATGGATCACAGTTGTGAACTTAAAGCTTTTTCAACTCTAGATTAGATGTCAGACATCGATTTTGGTGTATAATACTTCTATAGAATTGCCAGACTGAAGATACAACTAAGAAGACCGAATCAGACCTAAAAACACCTAGAAATAGGAGAAATATAATCGGAAATAGAACAGAATCTAAAGGAGACTCAAGATTCTCGGCTAAGAGAAGAGAAAATCATGAGAATGATTACAGTGTCTCTCGTAGCAATGCATTCTCTTCAACTCAAAATCCTAAATCAAGCGGAGTGGTTGCTTATAAATATTCAGTTAGGAAAAGCAACTTCCAATTCACACATAATAAAAGGTCTGATGAGATCAGGATTAAAAATTGAGCAATCAGAGGGAAAAAGAGAAGATCAATGATGAAGAAACTTAACAACAGTAATTACTCAATCAACATCAAGGATGAAGCCCATAGTAGGTGTCTCCCATCTGACTCTCTAGGAACTACCGGGATTCGGATCAAATACAAAAATTCCAGCGTTGAAGATATCAACAGAGGCAAATTCTCTGTTGACATTCCGAAACATAAGGGCGCTAGAAAAGAAGAGAAAAAGTATAAGCTCGAAGACTTTACTGTTACTTCCATCCTTGGCTTCGGCACATTTGGGTCTGTCTTACTGGTCAAACTGAGCAAAGATACGCCACCTTATGCTTTAAAGGTAATAAAATAAATCGAAATTAAATCTTTACAAGAACAAAAAGCAAGTGGAGCACCTGAAAAATGAAAAAGCAGTGCTAAAGCTGCTCTCTACACATGCGAGCTCCTCCAACGCTATGATAAAGATGTATGAAACTTTACAAGATTCTGTTGGGTTCTACTTCCTTACTGATTACATCCCTGGAGGAGAGTTGTCTACATATCTAAGTACAAAGCTGACTATCAGTAATTCAGGAGTCCAATTTTACATGGCTGAGGTAATAGTCGCCCTTGAGCAGCTTCATGAACTCAATATTGTCTACAGAGACCTAAAGACCGAGAACATAATGATTGACAAGGATGGGCATATTAAATTAGTAGATTACGGGTTTTCTAAAATTCTGAAAAAGTCAGTAACCTATACTTGCTGAGGAACTCCTAACTATATGGCTCCAGAGATAATTAAATAAGTGTGGTCATGATACTAAAAGTGATATATGGGCTCTTGGAGTCCTGTTCTGTGAGATAATAGGGAGGTTTCCTCCTTTTCATGACCAAAACCCCCTGAAATTATGCGAAAATATCCTCCATTGCAGAATTAAATGGCCTAGAAATATGACTAAAATCGCAAGAGACCTTGCAACCATGATGCTTGTTGTTGATCCTGAAGGAAGATCAAGCCTAGAAGACATCAAGAATCACCTTTTCTTCAAGGTACAGTCCTAATTTGAGATTTATAGGGAGTCGACTGGGAAGCGGTAAAAACAAGAGAAGTAAAGCCATATTTCATCCCAGAATTAAAGGATGACAATGACATCCAGTACTTCAAGACTAAACTAACTGAAAAGGAAAGATTAAAAATAGAAGAAAGTGAGAACCCTCTTGGAGTAGCTGAATATCTTGAAATGCAACCAAGAGATGTTACTGAGAACACATTCATCAACTCAGGTCTTACAATGACTACAAAGAACTGGATTGATAACTTTTAACCCAATTCTTTATCTGAACCCAATTTTTATAGTTTAAATCACCTAAATTCAACTTCCAATTCTCGTTAAGGGGTTTTGGGGTTTTGGGGTTTTGGGGTTTTGGGG